GGGGCGGCGGCTGCGGTTGTGTTGCGCCTGGGCTGAGGCGCGTCGTCCCCGTGCGGCCAGCGCCTCCTCCGGCTTCGCGGTAGCTCCGCTGTGCTGGGGTACGAACCTGGAGTCGGCCCGAAGACGTCGTGGGGTGCGCGCGTCCGCAGTCTGCCCGCATGCCTGGGGGCTGTGCCCTCTCTGGCAAGGGGCCGCGAGGACTTGGTCTGGACGGTGCGCTCGGCCGGCGCTCAGACGCCTGCTCCCGGCTCCTGTCAGCCCCGGAACGGCCCGTGCCGCGGACGCTTTCGGTGCTAGTGGTTCCGAACGCTCCGCGGCTGAACGCGGAGAGTCAAGTGCGGGTCGCTGAGGGTGCGGACCCCTGGGCTTGAGACCGGGTGTTGGGACTCACGCTGTAAGAACGACCCCTTCGGACCCGCCCAGGCCCCCGCGCGCCCCAGAATCTCCCGCACACCCCAGAACCCCTGCACGCCCCTAGATTCCCTGCAGTCCGGGACCCTTGCGCACCCCAGGTCTCCGGAGCAACCAGCACCTCCCGCGCAATGCAGGACCCCCGCGCATCCCGACCCCCAAGCTTCCCGGGTCTCCTAAGCGACCTGGGGTCGTCCTGGGACGCCGCACACCCTGGGATCACCGCGTACCCCGGTATCACACGCGCGTCCGATCCCCCACGCGCTCCAGCCCGTCTTGGCTGTAAGGGGCCGCGGGCCTGGGGCGCGCTGCCACTTGTTGAATCAACTTTCCGTGTCGCTTTTGCAGGCTGTTTTCGCGGTGCTGAGCCTGGTGGGCCAAAGCAGTTTTCTGGGGCTCATGTGTTTGTCATTTTGTAGCGCCAGAGAAGCAGGAAGTTTGACGTGATAAAACGGTGCATTAAAGGAGTCCCAGAGGTCGACCCAGACGACGTGGGGAGGAGACCAGATCCTTCCCAACGGCCTGTGGAAGGTGCTTGGAAGTGGATTCCGAAGTTGCTTTTTTTGCGTAGACTGCCGGAGTGTAAGTTGCTTTAAGACTTTTGCTGAGTGGAGGAAGGAATGTTGGATAATACATAGTGCATTTTACTTTATTCGTGATTTGCTCTTGCCTTACTCTGAATGTTGGATTTTATTTTTCCCTTGATTTACATAGTCACACATCTGAAGTTTATCAGTCTGTGTTTTAAACTGACTCTTGATTCTTTTGAGTTTTTATATTTCATCCCTCTGTACCTCCTATCTTGAATCAAAGCTTCCATAACTTTAAAGTACTTTTTTTTTAAATTCAAACTTGACTAGTTACTTAGTTGATATTGATTTCTCAGCATTGAGAACTTTTTAAGATGGATTAGTTTGATTTTGAGAATGTTTCAGCTTTACAATATTAAAAAAATTACAGTAATTTTAAAATCAGTTTTACAATATTTAAGAAATCTACCTTGAGCATATCATTACCGCTTCTTTTTTTTTTTTTGGAGAGGTTTTTGTTATAGGGCGCGTGGGCTCACCAGATAGAGAGAGAAAGACAGACAGAAAGGGAGAAATCCCCCCCCCCCAGGGGTTGGCCAGGCCACAATCCCGGGGTTGGCCATGCCACAATCCCTTCTCCTCCATTCTCCTCTCGGGATCTTGGGCACGCACGCACAGGCGCCTGGCGTGAGTTTAAGCCACCGGGTCCGGGGCGGGAACCGCAGTCGACTGCGTGGGAGTCCAGTGACATAGCCATTACGCTAACTGCTAGTCCCTCATTGCTACTTCTTTAAACAACGGGTTTTGTTAAACTCAGTTTCCAATGTGTCTGTGAAGGGAAGTGCAGCTTGAGGGAAGAAGTCTGGGAAACTTTTGATTTTGAAGCTCTTGAATATTATCCCAAAATGGAAATCGAAATTGTTCTTTCAGTGGCTTTTCTTTTTATTTGGCAAGTTAGTGTAGGAATTCTAGGCAGTAATTCTTTCCTTCGGTTCTGCTTTTCAGGTCTGACACTATTGATCTCCTTCTGAGTCCCCTTTATGTGTTGGGCAGTAAGCAGTAGCAGTCCTGTACCCTTCTGCGGCTTTGGTTTTGGGGCTCTGTCCCACTGCTGTGCTCTGTGATGCCATCTGAGGGTCACATGGACTGGGATGGCAATGTATATCACAGTTTGGAGCCACGGTAACAGTTTTGCCTCTTTGGATGGATGAGCATATATATTTTTATATATATTTTTTTACTTACATTGGATTGAGGCTACAGAAAGAAGTTTTTTTTTTTTTTTTTTTTTTTTTTGGGGGTTTTTTTTTTAAGGGGCTTTTTCCCTTGCA